ACTTTATAATATATTAAAGTTAATAAGGGAACTTTAGGCCTTTATTATCGTTATTATTTATAAAGATAGGGATATTAAGTATTTTATTTAATCTTTAAGAAAGTTAATAGATTAAAATAGGGGTAGCCTTATAGTTACTTTAAACCTTAAATTAAGTAAGGCGTTATTTTAGAGTACGGTAGGTATTAGTGCCGTTATTATTAATATTAATACTAATTTAAGAGCTATTTTTTAATTATTTAACGCGCTTATTTAGTATAGTATTAGTATTAAATGCTTTATTAAAAGCCTTTTTAATAGTTTATAACTTTTTAATTATAATATATAAAATTTTAATATTCTTTTTAATCATTTTATAAAGGCGCTTAATAGTATTATTTAGCTAGCCGATTATAGAGGTTAGTATTTACTTTAATTAATATTAAGCGATATATATCTTTAATTAATTCTCGACTTATTTATATAAAATAGCGCCCTTATTTTAGCTATAAAGGTCCTAAATAAGTTTAAAATTAACGCTATAATATTTAATAATATTAAAAAGTCCTTTATTATAAATTTAAATTAAGGATATAAGTTTATTAGTAATATAGTAAAAATAAATAAAGCGGTCGTTTTATAAAACGGAGGATAGAAATTACTTTAAAGGCTACTTTATAAAGTCGACCTTAAAGTTAAATATAAGGAGCTTGATATCGTTATTAATACCTATAATATTCTAATATTAATTATAAAAATAATAATTCTATTAAAAACTATTAATATAGAAGGATATTTATCCTTTATAGCTTTATTTTTAGGCTATAGTATTTAATAAAAAGAGTACATATTTAGGGGGTATTAATTATTTTATATAGGTATCAAATTGGCTATTATTTAGCTTATTTTATATATCTTTTTAATAAAGATAGTTAATTAGTATAGTAGGTTTAATAGGTTGAAATTTTATCGTTTTATTTTTAAAAAATAGTTGTTTTATAAATAACGTTAAATAATATTACGATAGGGAACTCGAAGTAGGTTAAAACGTTATTATATTAACTTAATAAACGTAATTTAACGTAAAAAGGGAAAAAATAAAATAGTAGGTAGATTCTAGTATATTAGGCTTTTAAGCTTAGCGGTTTAAAAGTTATATGACCTTTAAGGGGTCTATTAGGTACCTAAGGTTCGGGCCTACTAGGGACTAACGCCTAGTGCCGTAATAGTTATCTTAGGCCTAAACTACTTATATACCTAAAAATTAATATATTAAACTTAGGATACGCCGGAGCCCTAGTCTAATAATAAATAAACGATAGCCTATAATACCTTATAACATTCTACTTAAAAACTATAAATAATATAAAGCTTAATTACGCTATATACAATAAGAAAATATTAATAATAATTATTTATTAAAAAAATAGTATACTAAACTAGTTAATTATTATTAAAAATTCGATATTATTATAGACCACTAACCGCTTTTATTCTTTATAATAAAACGCCTCTTTAACTTATAATAAGCCCGTTAGGCTAGTACCCTAACCGACTTTAATTTTTAAATTTAATACTACCTAAAATAGAAAAATATATTCGTTAATATATTATTAAAAAAATAAAGATATTAAGACCTAATAAATACTAAAAAAGGCTAACTAAACCTAAATCCTATTATTATTAGAGCTATTATCGCTAGGTATTATTACCGAATTATAAATACTATTAAAGAATGCAGTATAATAGCCCGAACTTACCGTTAGGTCCTTTATACTAGAAAACGAACTTTAAAGGTATTTATTAATTAAAAAAGTACTAAAGCTTAATTATAACTCGATAATAATATTGCTTACCTTAATATAAATACTAATAACTAAAGGCTATAAATATTAAAAAATTCAAAACGACGGATTATTTATAATAAATAATAAGCTCGTTATACTTAAAGAGGATAATTTACGTATTATAATTATCCGTAAGGTCTATAAATAAAAACTCCTTATATACCTAAAATATAACAAAATAGTTAAAATAATTAAATAACGGTATTATTAGCCTAGCCTTATAGTAAATATATACTAATATATTAAAAACTATTATATATATTGTTATTCTTAAAAACCCTATAATAGGCCCCTAGGAGAGCTAAAGCCTCTACATATACCCGACCACCTATAATAGTATATTTTAATAAACTTTATAATATTATCCTCCAATTAAAAAGGCTATAATATAATATATATTATAATTAACAAATTAAGTAAAAGAGCTATTTTAATATTTTATTATAAAACTATTATTATATAGAATATAAATAAAATATTTATATTCTATATAATATTATTAATTCCCGGGCTAACTAAGACTATTACTTTTAATTATAGTCTTTAATTTATATTAGACTTTTTAAAAAAGCTATATAACCTCTATAATATTAATTATAATTATCGATAATAGACTACCTATAAATAAATAGTTAAATAGAGATCTTAATTTAATATATCCTCTAATAGTTACGGCCTCTTATTAATTATTATTAAAATAATTAAAATAATACATTATTTATAATAAACTTTACTTATATAGCCTAACTTAGTAAAACTATAAGGCTATCACTTTATAAAGTTAAATTTAATTATTAACCTTAATTATCTTTTAACTAAGCCACTAAAACCCAATATTTTAACTTAATTAAAAAAATCTTAACTATATTAAAGCTTAATAAATAGCCTAAAGTATCTATAAAGCCTAAAAGATCGTTAAAATAATGTAAAGATTATTTAAATAAAATACTAAAAATATACTAATTACCGCTAATAACTTAACGACCTAAAGATTAATAATAAAGTATTTATAAATATATTTTACTAAAAAACCTAAAATATTAATAAACTATAATAGCCTTAAGCTAGCCCCTAGCTTGTTATTAATACTAGCCTAAATAATATATAGATTATAAAACTACTTATAAAGAGTAAAGCTTACCCGGTTTTTTATTTAAATAAGCTATAAAAGGCTATAAAAGACCCCCTACCGCCGATCTACTATAATATTAATAAGCTTAAATATAAAATCTTATAAATAATTAAATCATAGGTATAATATAATAAGTTATAATACTAAGCCGATTAAAAAGAATATAATAACGACCCGATATAATATAATATAAAAAGCTTCTACTATACTCTAATAATATTATACGTTTTTTATAAATAATACCCTATAACTATAAAACTACTATAAAACTTCTTATCATAAATAAAAATAACGGCTAATAATAGCCTAGCCCTATTTTATATTAATAATAACGCTATAATAACCTTTATTATAATAAATTTATTAATAAACACTTAAAAACCTACTAAACCCTCTTCCTTTATAACTCCGTTAGAAAACTATTATTAATAAAAAAGTTAAATATTAGGCCTTATTAACTAATAATAAAATAGAAAAAAGTAATAAATAATTAATTAGATTTTAATAATTTATAAAAAAATAATTATAAAAGATTTAAATAAATAATTAAGCGCTATAGATAGTACCTCTTATATTAAAAAGAGAGGGTAATATTACGGTATTAGGTATTAGGCCGCTATATACTCGGGCCTTAAATACTAAACGGACTCTTTATAAATTATATAATTATTAAACCGCTAGGCCTAAAAGCCTAACGCCCTAGATTCTACCTATTAGTCTACTTTTTCCCTCTTTATATTAAGTTATATTAATTAGATTAATATAGTAGCGTTTAGACCTGCCTCGAGTTCCCTATCGTAATAATCTATTAATATCCTAATAGTTACATCTATTAAGGGGATTTTTAATACTCAGAAAGCTAGAATAAAAGCAATATATAAGTCTTTTTAAAAAGCTATTTAATGAAATTTCTTTAATATTACTTAATTCTTACAGTTTTAATTTTTATAAACTTATTTAATATTAATTAGCTAGTATAAATACCCTCGGAAATGTCTTTGTTAAAAGAATGAATTCAATTATATATATTATATTATATTAAAAATAACGTTAGTAATCAAAGATATTTCCGCTATTATAAGTTTTATCTCCGCGTAAGTATGAAACGTTACTTACGACGTAAGTAGGCCTACCTATAGCCGAGGGGTAGATTCGATATATATACATAGCGGGTGCTTAAGTACACTACGTATAGGCCGAACAAGAGCTTGTCAATTCTCAGTCTTTGGACTGACTTATTATTTAAGTACGGCTCTCTCACTCTACCTGACGCCCGCAAGCCGGGATCCTTACCCGTCCGTCGTCTCCCCGCAGTCCGACCGCCGTGGAGCAGAAAGTCTCCTTTCCCCGCGAGTCCCTCGCTAGCTTATGGGTTTGGGCTAGTATGATAATGAGTGGCCAGCCCAATTCGCCAAGAGATTGTGCCTCACTGTGCCATGCAAAGACAGGGTGGGCATTTCTTGACCCTGACAATGTGACTTAATCTTGCCAGATGAACCATGAAGCGGTCACTTAAAGCCTCCATGAGTTGACACCTACCAGCGAATCATGCACCGCATCAAACTTTTAGGCTGCTTCTCTATGTTTCCAATAACGGACACAAATGCTTTCCTTTTACGCTCGGAACCTTAAATGGAACTAGAGAAGCGTCGCCATGGCGGCTACACGCGGAATGAACGTCTGTCAACATCAGACGATGTTTGATGAGGAGACAGACGCGAAACTCTGAATGGGGGTTGATCTTGTGACCAAGTGTCCCGCCACCTGCTGTTCTATTTCTTCCATCTCCATCCCAAGTGGAGTGGCAAGTGTTGTCCCCTACGCTCTTCAAACTTCCCCTCTCGCCTTAGTACAGCTACGCCTTTCAGTATTCGGCTCATATATGTACCTCGAAATACCATCATACGTAGGCAATAATCCTGGTAAGAAGTTTTGATTGTTTTCTGTACGCTGCATCGACTGCTGACTCATCTCCTAGAAGTCACCTATACGAAAATCAATTACGAGACGATTATCACGTTCGTTCGAACTCGCACTGCAAGATGTCAGAAAGTCCCACCACTGCTTCACGCAATCAAAGGGATCCTGGTAGTCCAACTATCACGGGAATTCCATCCATCCTAACAGTCCTTCGCGAGCCCGAGTCCTTCTCGACTATCGACGATAGACGAGGGCAACAGTACCGTCAACAGTCTCCGGAGACAGCCTCCAAGTTAGCGCGTGAGACCCTGATTAGCATGTGTAAGACCATTGGTCTTGTCGGCGCGCAGCTCAACAATGGGACAAATGATTCCGACTTCCAGCTAAGACAGCTTATTCACTTAGCGCGCAACATAACCAAGCGGCTTGACAGTCCTGAGCCGAACGGGCAAAACGGACACGCTGGCCCTCCTCGCATGGACTAGATGAAGGATGATCTGGTTGCTAAAAACAACGAAATTGTTCATTTGCATATGTGGAAGCCGGCATACTGGAAGGATCACGGCGTTTCTGGAAGGCTTGCAAGGAAATCCCCGGCATCATCTAAGGAGAATGGCTTGCAACGAGACAGGAGGGTACATGGTAGCGTGGCGCTCCCGAAAAGAAAAAGAGTTTTCGAAATCTTGTAACCCTTTCTCAACAGGATTGAAGAACAAAAGTTACAAAATCACAAAAACTTTCCGCTGGCTTTCTGTTGACTCATGCAATGCGCGTTCCTGCCTGTAATACTGCACATGCGTATGGGGCTAGTCAGCTTGGTGAATATTTACACTTGAACCCAATATTTTGATAACCATCCGGCCGCCCCAATTACTTGTTCTTTCAAGACCTTGCTGGGTTTAGCCTTGCTTGGTAATAACCGAAGATCTCAAGAAAGTCGCAGTCTACGATGCACTCCGCCGCATGGTAAAACCAAGGTTTTAATAATACTGGCGAAAGTTATCAACCAACTCCTAAAGCTCGGGGAAGCTAGAGGTCTCCAGTGACTTGGATAGCTCATGTGGCGTCAGGTTCGTAGAACGGCGTCATTTAGTAGGCTGCGTTGCTAGTACGCTCAGTGTAACTATCATTAAGCCAACAGTCAATGGGGTTCATGATCTCGTTAGTTAATCTATCAATGTTACCTTCTTTAGAATTTCAACATGTGAATTGGCGCAACTGAAGAGACTATGAAGGAAGCTTGTGTCTTTCTTTGATTTCTAGAACACTTGCATACCTTATTTGGATGTGATACTTCTACCGATTTATCCCTTGAGCCCCCATTGAACATGAACAGATACTAAGTAAGATCCACCAATGTGTAGGAGGCCTACTTCGGAGAGGTCAAGCATAGAAGGCTCGCATACCTCGATTGATTCTCAGGGCAATCTTGTGCTGTTCTTCAGCACCATACTCGAAGCCTTTAGACTACCTTAGCTTTGATGTTGAAAAGCCACGGTAGCCTATTCATTTAGTAGCATTTCGAAATTTCCAGTCAATTGACTTTTAAAGCCCCATAGCTAGTTGAATTAATTTTTATACCTGATCTACCTTATCTATTCAAATGAAGAAGAAGTCTTTATTTAGAACTTTGAATAGTATCTACTCAAGTATAGTAACTATCCATCTAAGCTAATTGTAATATAAAGGATTAGTATTACGACTTAAGATATATATAACCAAGACTAGGGCCTGCCCTACAGGCTCGTAACGGCTATAACATACTATATATATATATATAACAGTCGGGGATTTAATATTATTAATAAATAAAAGAACTATAATATAAGTTTTATAATAATAAAAAAAGTAATTATATACTAAAATAATTAATATAATATAGTGGTTTTTTTCTAGCTTTATAGTATTACGGCCAGCTAGTCGTAATAAGTATATTTATAAAAATTAAGGCTATAATATTAAAAAATAATATATTATAATTATAAATAACTTCCTTAAAACTATATTTATAAATTATAAAATAGGTAAGGCTTTAATAATTAATTATAGTTTAATTAAAAAAGTTTTTAATAAATATAGTTAAAAGTAATTATAAAATCTAATATTAAATTAATTATTAAAAAAGCTATAGAAAGTTTATCTTTAAGCCCGGCTTAAATTAATCTTATATATAAGTTCTATATATTATTTAAATAGTTCTTTTATAAATAAAATTAATATTATAATGTCGGTCTTATAAAGATTATTACGACCTAACGTACATAATTAACCTAGAGGCCAGCTACCGGGCTATAGTAGCTATAATATATTAGGAATTAATATACGGGTATGAAGAATTGATATACGGGTATGACTTTTATACGGGTATAATAACTATATATTATTATTAGCCTAAAAATTACTATTAATTCGTTCTAATTCTACCGGTTTTATTTAAAGTATTTAGGAATTAATTTTCGGAATTTATTATTACGATGCGTTTATCTAGTTAAGCCGTTATTACTATATTATTTATATTAATATTTATTATATTTAAGTCCGTTTTATTATTATTAAAGCGTAACCTTTAATGTCGAACTAAAAACTCGATTTTAAATAACGAGCCTAATTTAAAACGATAATATAACGGGTCTTTTTTTATTTTATAACCTTTTACTATTAATAATCCGGATATTAATATCGGTAATTATTATAGCTTTAACGACAATAATGCTTTTAAGAATATCTTTATTTTTTACTTAGACCGGTTTTATTAAGTTATTTATTTTTACGGCTTATATAGGAATAATACGGTATTTATAAAAATATAGGATAATTATAAAGTCTTTTTATACTAGTCGTTCTTAATAAATATTATTTAAAATTATTAAATAATTATATTAATATTTAGTCTAAAATATAGCTTACTCCTATCGTATCCTACTTATAAATTTACTTTATAAGATAAAGAGTATCGACCTAAATAAGCAGCCTCTATATAAGATTTTATATTTATATTATATTTAATAAAGAAAGTAATAGGGAAAGGCCGATAGTTAATTATAGAACTATTTAATTTTTTTAAACGAGTTTAATAATAATAATAAAAATAGGGTTATTTATTATACTTATTTAATATATTTATGTTATTACCTTTACCGCTATATTCCCCTCTTTACTATATAAGGTATTTTTTATCGATTTTTAAATAAACTTATAAATTTTATTATTATAAGGTTCTTATTCCCTAGGTTAATATTTATTTTTACTTTTACCTAACCTAATCCTAAATTTATAAATTCTTAATAACCTAGAGCCTATAATCAATATCTTATTTAACTAAGTTAATATATTTATTAAAGAGAACGGGTTTAGTATTATATATTAATATAGATATATATATAAAGGTAAAAAAATAAGATATATATTTTAATATAACTATTTTAGTAAATTATGGCCTATTAAGGGTATAGGGTTATATTAATAAAAATTGTAAAAGTGTGGATATAAGTAGATAATTATTATTAAAATAAAGGAAGGGGGCGCTTAGCTTTTATAATATTATATTAAAGCTAAGTATACCTAATATAACTATAGGCTAAGCTTTAGTTCTTTAGTATATCCTTTATATTAGGGGCTTATATTATTAATTAAGAATATTATTAAAGTTATTAATTACCGGGTTAGTATTAGGGCCCGTAACGTTTATATTATTATTTAAAAATAATTTTTAGATTCTATATTTATTTAATAGGATATTTATAATACTAAAGCCTTTATAAATAGAGAGAAATTAGATAGCTATTTATTAATAACTATTCCAATAAAGTTCTTTAACGAGCGAAAAGTATTTTATATTATAAAATAGGCTAATAATAAGCCGGACCGGCTTATTAGTTTAATATAGATATTTTTATTTTATTTTTTAATATAGAGGCGCTTTTTAAAGGTAATTAGCTTTAAGTTTTTACTATTTTAAATTATTAATTAGATATATATTAGATTTATTTTTAATATAGTATTCGGCCTTATTAATAACGAGAGATTAGAAGGGTTTTAGTTCTTTATAGAGAATATCCGTTAATTATCTAATTAATATTCAATTTATTTATTAAATATTATTATTACCGATTTTAATAAGTAAATAAAGGCCGCCTTAATTTACGAATTTATTAATATATAATAATAGCTCTATATTTATTATATTAATTTTAACGTTATATTTAAGGTTAAATAAAAATAGGTAAAAGGAAAATAGGTAGAGGGTACCGGTAATAGCTTAGATTATAAAGACGATAATAAGCCTTTAAGAATATTAAAAATAAAATTAAGTAACGAGGATTAGGTATATATTTATATACCTATTAGCGATTTAATCTTTTATATATATTATAAATTTTTTATAATGTAGAAGTTTATTATCTTTATAGAGACCGAAGTAATTTATAAGAAAGTATAGGCTAGTCTTTATAAAGAGTTCGATAATTAGCGGCTAATATTATATTATTTTTATAAGATATATTTTCTTATTAGAGCTTAATAGGCTCGGTACTATATTTAAAAATATTAGAATTTTAGTATTTATATTATTTTAAGGACCGAGTTTAATAATAATAATATTAAAAGTTATTTTTTAATAGCCTAAGTTATTTATACTAATTTATTAATATTATATAGGATATAATTTAAGATTAAAAGTTATAGTTTATATAGTCCTATATAAAGGATAAGGTACTAACTACCTACTAATATATTAGAGTTAATTTAAAATATTTAAATAAATTTTAAAGTATATTCTTTTTAAAGTACTTAGGGTTAATTATAAAGTAATATTAGATAATAAAGATAGTATTACTAACTAGTAATTATTTATAGCCCCTTTTTATTAGAGATTATATAGATAACTATTTTATTTTAGTAAAGTTAGGTATTCTTTATTATTATATAATTTATATAAGGCTTATAGTTAGGACGTTTTTTATAAAATAGGATATTTATTTTTATTAAAGATTAAAGGAAATATTTTTGAAAGATCTATATTATTAGATTCTAGACCTTAAGATTTTTTTTTTTTTTATAATAGGCTAAAGAATATAATATAGCCTATCCTTATTCGATTTACTATATAAAAGGATAATAATCTAGGGGACTAGTATAGGAAAATGCTATTAATAGTTTTAAAAATAATTTAATAAGGCCGTTTATTAAGAAGTTATAATAAGGTAATTATTATAAAGCTTATATAAGAGGGAGGGTAGTAAGAGAGTAGTTAATTTATAACCTTATTATATTTATATATTAAAAGTTAGTTTAATAAACTCGGTATAAGGAGATCTATAGGAATATAAATTAATAGATAGGTATTATAAATAAGTATTTAAAGAAGAAGGTATAAGTAGGAGATATTAATTAGTAATAATAACGAGGCCGTTCTTTAATAAATATAATTATTTAAATAGGGCTTAAGTAGGATTTATTATTTATTTATTATTTATTTATTTATTAA